ACATTACTGTAACAAAATGAATTCCTAAATTTTTAAGCATCTACATATATTGAACGCGACAATCTAGGCAACTTGTGAATACTACAACAATATGTTTACTATACAGTTTGCACCACTTTCAGTAAATGCACGAGAGTTTAGGACGTGGTTTGTTTATTTTCATGTATTCTTCTATGTTCATGGGATATTGTCATTAGTAGGCCACACCCATGTGATGACTTCTAGCAATATATGATAATGACAAAACGCAAAATTTTTCTTCCATGGCATTGATTGAGAATCTATGATAATGACAAAAGGCACAATCTATGATAACGACAAAAGGCCCAATTTTTCTTCAGGCAATCAGATTTTGGCGTTCCTTGAAGGCTATAGCAGTACCGGATAAATCGAAATCTGAAACCCCAATGAAACATTTTGTTTTGATTAGTTTATATCATTAAAATCGTTTCGTAGATGGTTTTTGATTGAACACTCATATTTGGATCCGCGTCAATTCTGTTATGTGTATTGTACATGCATAATGTTGAACCTCATTTTCTCTTCATACTGCAACAGGAGAACAAAGACTATAAGGAGTTTAAGGACAAAGATTGCCGGGAGGTCTACCGATACAAGACGTTGTTCGGGGACGTTTTTGACAACGACAAGTACGCTGTGACTCCAAGTAAGCTATCTCGCACCGGCTTCGCAATGTTCGAAGACAGTGCTACTGAAGATCACCATGATGAAACCCCGGTGGATGCGGAGAGCAGTGGGTCTAGTGACGAGGCCGTCGAACCCTTTTCGGAAGTACCATCCGTGGATATGTTGGGGCAGCACAGTGGTGATAAACGGAAAGCAGCTAGAGGTCGACCTACAGAGAAGAAGAAAAAGTTGTCTGCGAAAGACGTGTCGTACTCAGTGGATCGTGCCACCGATGCTAGCGAGAAGGTGGCAGCCAAAATTGACAAGTTAATTGGACCACCTGTGTCCGACGCGAAAACATGCTCGCAGGAGTTATTGGCCACGGGATGCCTTGAAAGGGGAACCGATTTCTACTACTGGACGTGCANCTCGCAGGAGTTATTGGCCACGGGTTGACTTGAAAGGGGAACCGATTTCTACTACTGGACGTGCAATTTCCTCAAGGATAAACATAACAGGGAGATTTTGGATATTTAAAACGGTGCAAACTACAAGTTCGGATATGTGGAGTGGAGCTGGCAACAACATTTAAAGGGGTAGCCTCGGTGACGTCTATTTTCATGTAACAATAGACATTTTCATTACTATCTTTGTTATGTTTCTTGGTGTTTAGATTAAAGCATTGGAATATGTTGTACTGTATTTTATGTGGGTAATTTAAGTTATGATCTGTGTAATGAAAGCAACTGTTGTAGGCTTGTTTATGACGTACTATTTCATGTGGGTAATTTAAGTTATGATTTGTGGTGTTTTAGGCTTGCATGTTATGAAAGCATTGGAATATGTTATACCTTCTGTGCTTATTTTACATGTGGTGTAATATGTGTATGCAATAAAATAATGAAAGCAACTATTTTAGGCTTACATGCTTATTCTTGTACCGGCTCAGCAGGCTTTCAAACAAAAATAGGCTATCGAATTATTTCTCCAGTGCTGTGCACAAGGGTACTTTTTATCTTTTCAACATGGTTCACTCACATGTTTCATAGCTCACGGACAGCTTGAAGTTGCATAACTCGTACAATCCTTTACTTTCCATTTGCCTATAAAGGGGTAGAGAACTTGTAACATTATTTCATTGCCTTCTGTTTGCATCTTCTTCTATTTTTGAAATAAAAAAAGTGAGGGTATGGCGCATTTCGATTTCAACTGTAATTTACAACAATTGTCCGATGGCGATAATGAAATTGATGACACAACATATATGGAAAAGCTGTTCGTGGATATTAGAGAGTGGTT